GTCCGTCCTCCCAGCCGCAGAATGCCCCCTCGTAGGGCAAAGCGGGAGAGGGGGACACTATCACAGAAGGCGGTAGTCATACTTACTCAGTTACCAACCGCCGCAACATCAGGAAGACCAGAAATGGGGGGCCGACCAACTACCCTCCAGTCACCCGCCAACTCCCAGGAAGGGGCTCGGATGACGGTAAGGGGGGAAGAGTGAGGTGAAAAGTCACTAATAAAACACCTCCTCCCCTCACCCCTTGGATCCACTATACAGTGGGTAGGAAGCGAGGGGTTGTGACCCCTCCCAACCTTTTATAGGCTCGCGCACCCGGCGGCTAGGGGACTTAATTTTTCTCCCCGTAACCGTCGTGCAGGAGGGTAGGGCATCGGGCGGGAATTCCCGGCGCCCCAACGAGCCCTCCAATCGAAGGACGGCTAGTTGAGACGATGGATCAACTAGCCGCACAATATCCAGGCGGCGCACAGTGAGTCAAATGGATCTTTTCGTGGACAAAAATCGCTAGACGGCGTAATTCTTAACCGATTTCCATGCTTTTTTTTTTACTCGCGATGAATTGCTCTACAATCGTATCGAGCCCGTTTGTTAAATTAGGCCCTCAATTCAAAATGGCGGACGCGCAAATTTGTCAAACGTATAAAACCTGTAAAATGTCGAATATTTTTGGATCGGATAAAGTTTATACGGGCTTTTAAGGCCTCCGATACATACAGGGTGAAGAAGAAACCCCGGGACCCCTGAAAATTTCGAAAAATATACATTTTATAAAGAAATGTTTCAGACAAAAGTTGTAGCGTCGAAAAGGATCTATTTACTAATCTTAACAATTTGACCTTGGGTGGCGTCATCAAGGCCAGGATAAGGTCACATCGGATTTTTAAAATGGAATTCCCAATTTTTTATTACATATTCTTATAGCCCTTCTTCAGACCTTTTCAAAGCACTATAGTTTTATCAAATTTGAATAAGCTGTTCCGAAGTTATCGAGTTTTTTAAAGTAAGATATCTAGCCAACTAAAGCAAGATCGTAGGATTATCCAGGCAACTAAGGCAAGATCGGAGGATGATCCGGCCAACTAAGGCAAGATCGTAGGATGATCCGGCCAACTAAGGCAAGGTCGGGAGTTGTCCAGCTAACTAAGACAATACTGGAAAGCTTTAAAGTAATTGTTCAAAATGTCCGCCATCAACAGTTTGACAATAAGCTAATCTATCGTAAAGAGATGAAACGGCTTTTTGAATGTAATCAGCAGGGATGAGAGCAGTTTATCAAGAATTCGATTTCGTAAGTCATCCAAATTTTATGATTTCGTTTTGTAAGTTCTATCTTTTAAATGATCCCACAGGAAGTAATCGTTAGGTGATAAATCGGGTGATCGAGGAGACCATTCTATAGGTCCTGTTCTACCTATCCATCGAAACACTGTGTCCAGATAATTACGGACGTCCCTTCCGTAATGTGGGAGGGCACCGTCTTGTTGGAACCATGTATGCTCGAAGTTGTCATCCATGATTGCTTGTATCGCTGGAACTATTTCGTTTCTTAGCACATTCTCATATTTTATCGCTGTTAGATTTCCGCCAATAAAGAGTGGACCTATGAGAACATTATTCAAAATGCCTACCCAAACATTCACTTTTTGTGGATACTGCATGTGTTTCTTCAATCCAGTGAGGATTTGTATCTGACCAAAATCTACAATTGTGTCGATTAACGTGGCCATTTAACTGAAATGTTGCCTCATCTGAAAATACTACATTTAATAGATAGTTAGGATCTTCGGCTATTTTTTCCATTACCAAATCACAAAATTCAATGCGCCTATCAAAATCATCTTCATTTAGCTCTTGTACAAGATGGATCTTACAAGGATGAAATTTATTCATTTTCAATATTTTAAACACAGACATTTGATCTATTTCATGTTGCTGTCCTACTTTGCGGGTCGAATCATGCGGATTTTCGATAAAGAATTGTAGAACATCTAATGATTTTTCTATACTTGTTGCTGATACTGGCCTACCTGGTTGGTATTACACAATTTTTCACACTTCCAGTTTCCTGAAAACGCCTTCTCGTTCTTTCAACGGTAGATTTCGAAATGGCATTATCCTGATTACGAAAAGTTTCATTAAAAAGCCGCCTCACATCATTGTACGACTTAGTCGATCATCCCATCCTCTCATCATCAAAAGAGATACGCGTTCTCGTTCTGAAAGACTTGCCATATTGACAAGCAGAAGTGGTAAGATTTAGTCTAATCGACTAAATTAATATTTGGATCAATTCAAAGTTATTCTAAAGACAGTGCTGAAAAATAATAATGAGCACGGAATGAAGTGCAATTAAGTCAGCTTACAACTAGCTTCAAACCGTTTCTTAATAATTTTCAAAAAAATAGAGGAATTTCAATCGAGTTTGCGATTCACTAAACTGTAATGAGTATTAAATGAGTAAATGGAAGAAGTAAACATCGAACAGCAGAATAGTTCAAATAAATAAATAACTGAAATAAATCAATCAACGAAATTAAGACAAGCCAATAGGAGCCAACGCTTGGAAGTTAGTCACGCAATTATTTTTACGAGTTGGCTGGATCATCCTCTGATCTTGTCTTAGTTGGCTCGATCACTCCGACCTTGCCTTAGTTGGCCGGAACATCCTCCGATCTTGCCTTAGTTGGCCGGATCAACCTACGACCTTACCTTAGTTGGCCGGATCATCCTCCAATCTTGCCTTAGTTGGCTAGATATCTTACTTTAAAAAACTCGATAACTTCGAAACAGCTTATTCAAATTGGATAAAATCATAGTGCTTTGAAAAGGTCTGAAGAAGGGATATAAGAATATGCAATAAAAAATTGGGGGTTCCATTTAAAAAATCTGAGGTGATCTTGTCCTAACCTTGATGACGCCACTCATGGTCAAATTGTTAAGGTCGGTAAATGGATCTTCTTCAACGCTACAACTTTTGTCTGAAAAAATTTTTTTATAAAGTGTATATTTCTCGAAATTTTCAGAGGTCCCGGGGTTTTTTCTTCACTCTGTATGTAAGATCGAAATTCTCAGTTTTTGCCAGAGAGGAGAGGATCTGCAGTGGCCCGATATATTTTATACCTTCCTGATATCCCTACATTATCAATGTATTCTACTAATGAGTTTGCGTATATATATTGCATATATATATATATATAATAAATTGTATATATACACATACTAATATATAATAAATTATACATTTTCTTTTCAACATCTCTTATTTATACAATATTCCTTTCACAATATAAAAATCTGTATCAATATATATATATATATACAGGGTGTTTGATAGCTGATCATGCAGACGAAAATTGGAGATAGATTCGATATAGCCGAGAAGAAAAGTCATGTACCTTAATGTCAAATTGGCAATAGTTATCGAGTTGTTAATTAAAACATGTGAGCCAACGAGCGCGTAGAGATCGGAGGGCGATTGCAGTAAGCACATAGACATTTGATACAGGCGGAGTCAGCGAGTAACGGTAGGCGAGCGCGCGCGGCGAGGGGCAACGTAAACAACAAGAGGTGAACGCGCGCGACGAGGAGTGAGCGAGCGGGAACGACGAGGAGCGAGCGAGCTATAAGGAAAAAGCTATAAAGAAAAAGCTCGCTCGCTCCTCGTCGCGCGCGATCGTCTCTTGTCGCTTACGTTGCCCCTCGCTGCTTGCCTACCGCCACTCGCTGACTCCGCCTGTATCAAATGTCTACGTGCTTACTGCGACCGTCCTCCGCTCTCTACGCGCTCGTTGGCTCACATGTTTTAATTAATAACTCGATAACTATTGCCAATTTGACATTATGGTACATGACTTTTCTTCTCGGCTATACCCAATCTATCTCCAACTTTCGTCTGCATGATAAGCTCTCAAACACCTTGTATATATATATGTATATAGGTTAGAGCTCATTTAAAAGCCAATCCACGTCAGCTAATTGCGTACAAGACTTGCTCTGGTTTTGCAAGCAATTTGCTCTCAACTCTTGTGCGCATGCTTTGCTCGGTTTTTGGCGCCTATCTGTTACTAGGTTATGCGCTGAAAAGTTTGCGCTGTTTTTGCTGCAATCTTGCTGCAAATTATGTGGTATCAAGCCTTACCAGCAAAACCGGATCCTAATGAGGACACAGATGGCTATGGTTTTGATATCAATTTCTGATCAGGTTTGCTGCCAATTTGCACGCAATTTGCGCTCATTTTGCTTACTGGGTATCGTAATGCAGCTTAATTCTCTTAATTAAGTTCGTATTTTACCTTTTTCGGATGTCCTCCGGAGTATAAGACTTACATCGGATGATTTTTGTCTGTTCTGTGTTCCCTCATTTCCATTTAATACTGGAGTATTCAGACTCATATTTGAGTCTGTATTATTATGTGTCCCACCACGTATATTTCATTTCTCGCCTTTCGTCGCGAGTCACTGCGCAGGCGTGCTCCGTAGACAGAGCAGTGACTCTCATTCTTCTCGAGGGTTACGTTCCGAAAGTTACAAAAAAACGGTCACAAACTATTATGCTCGCGAGTGTACAGTTCTAAAAGTTACCATAACATCATTTCAATATCAAAGAAACATCACCAAACCATCACGAAAACTATATCGAATGACATCATCCTGATTTGTCTTAAAATGACTTTTTTTTATATAATTATATTAACACTATGCCGTCCGGCGACACCACAGTGGTGTCGTGCGCGAACTAGCGGTCAACGGCCGGCGACACCACAGTGGTATCGTGCGCGAACTAGCGGTCAACGGCCGGCGACACAACAGTGGTGTCGTGTGCAAACTAGCGGTCAGCGGCCGGCGACACCACAGTTGTGTCGTGAGCATAGTATCGTTCAGTGGCCGGCGACAGCACTTTAGTATCTTTTGCATTCTGTTGGTGTTTTGTTTAGGTAACAATAAGTTACACACGTCAACAAGTTTTTTATTTTTATAAGTACTTGTGCCCTTTCATCATGGCAGACGAAAGAGACGATACGAATATTTACGATGAATGCGCGGACGTCTTGTCTGACGTTCCGGACGACTTGGCCGATTCGGAAGAAGACATTGGATATCAAAAAGATGAAAGTGAAGCAGAATCGTCAGAAGATAGTGAAATATTTCCAAGAAAAATTCGGCGAACGCTACGGTTGCCAACTGATTCGGATGAATCCGACGAAGAAGACAGTGCACAGTGGTCAGACTTTAATTTACCGAGGACCAATAATAAATTTGAAGGATCTCCGGGTCCAAACATATTTCCCAAAGATACACAGAGCCTCGAGGATATCGTAGAATTATATATTGGGAACGATCTATTTGAATATATTAGCAACGAAACCAACAAGTACTACAGTCAAAATTTCAATAGAAGGAAACTGGATAAAAAAATGCCAAATTTGTCGACGTTACGGCACCCGAACTTAGAAAATGGTTTGGGCTTGCTATCCTTATGGGAATTGTAAAAAAAGCAAGGATCGATGATTATTGGTCAACGAATCCGTTGATAGACACACCGATATTTCGCAAAACGATGTCCCGCAACCGATTCAGACAAATATTATCATTTTTACATTTTTCCGACAACAACAATAAACCGGATAATGCCGACCGGCTTTTCAAAGTGCAATCCATAATTGATTATTTTTCCAAAAAATTTAAAGAAAATTTTAATCTGAGTCAAAACATCTCAATTGATGAAGGAATGATACCATGGCGTGGACGGTTAAATTTTAAAGTTTACAATCCGTCGAAAATTACGAAATACGGCATATTCATTCGGATGCTGTGTGATTCAAGTACGGGATACATTTCCTCATTCAAGATATATTCCGGCGCTGGACAGCCTTTAGCAACAATAGTGATGGGACTATTGACACCTTCTTATGGAAAGTGGCATCACCTCTATATAGATAATTATTATAACAGTGTAGAACTTGCAGAGAATTTACTTGAAAAGAAAATTCGAGTTTGTGGAACGATACGGCAAAATAGAGGATTTCCGGAAAAATTAAAGGGCGCAAAACTCAATGTGTTTGAAGCTTGTCATCAACGGAAAGGTGAAGTACTCGCACAGGTATGGAGAACTTCGAAAACTAAAACGATACGAATGATCTCTACAATACATAACGCCACTTTGACTGACACTCAAAGAAAATGTAGAAAAACCAATTACACAATAAAAAAACCTGAAAGTGTATTAGACTACAACAAATACATGAAAGGTGTGGATCGGGCAGACCAATATTTGAGTTATTACCCTATATACAGAAAAACTGTAAAATGGTCAAAAAAGGTTTGCATGTACCTCTTTAATTGCGCATTATTTAATGCATTCCGTACATGTCAATATTTCAATACAGAACACAAGAGTCTCCGATTTCACGATTTTTTATTGAAAGTGTCTGATTCGTGGATAAAAGACCATGTACCTGCTTCTGAGCAAAACTTGGAGGTTGCCACTACATCGCGTACGTCTCATCATGATCCGGTTGACAGACTTTCCGGTCACATAAAGCAACACCAACTGATATTTATTTCCGAAACGAATAAACGAAAACGAAGAAACTGCCATGTATGTTCCAAGAATAAAAAAAGAAGAGCAACAAACTTAATGTGCAAGTCTTGTGGAGTTGCGTTACATCTTGGAGACTGTTTTGCTGCATATCATATGAAAGAGAAATACTAAGTACCAAAGAAAATGCAAATAAACTAATATATAAAACAAACAAATTTTGTATTTATTTACGTATGTATATCTTCGAAATTTCATGAAAGTAGGGGAACAGGGTTGAGAACTTATGAGAACTAACGATGAGATTAGTAAAACTTAACAATTTATAATCTTCCGATAATGTCAAGAACGGCCGGCGACAAGCCAAGTAATCCGAATTAGCGCTGCCGGCGCCAAGCGAATAAATTTTTACGAGACGTGCGGACGGCAAAGTGTTAATATGGGCTGTATTCATAGTCGATTCTTATTTTGAGGACCACCTTAAGTTTGGTCTCAAGACATTCTCTACATTCATAATCAACAAATAAGCGAAGACTTGAGCAAAACCTGAAGGCAAAACTGTTCGAAGACTATCTTATTTTAAAACCTCTTAATATTATTCATAAACTAATCTTATTTCATATAAGCATTGACTTAAAGTTATCTTATTACTACCAAATTCATAGTCGTTCAAGATTATCTTATTCGACGTATATATAGTTAAATAAGGCGGTCTTCATCAAGTCATGTTAAAAGTAGACTTAAGATATTAGTAGTGCTCAGTGCTTGTGTAGCTATTTTGTCCGTAATTAAACAAATTTATTTTTTAATATGGAAGTGGTATAATTGATTTACATAATGATTTAGAAACAGAGGATATTAATAGCGATGATGAAAGAGACGTGCGTGTTTCGAAAAGATATATTAGAGACTGGTTCGATCCGTTTCACTTTTATAGAATTTAGAACAAAGAATTTAAAAGGCGTTTTAGATTTAATAAAGAATCTGTAATACACGGAATTTTGCCAGAAATTGAAGAAGGACTTGCACGCAATAATAATCGTGGTCTTCCAATACGTCCGGTATATCAATTGTTAATTTGTTTACGGTTCTACGCTACAGGCAGTTTTCAGGTTAGAGAAGATAAAATATTTAATTATACATGCAATAAGTTATTATATATAGTATATATTATACATGATAAATTTATACCACAGCAGAAATATCCAAAATATATCATAAGCATATCCTAAAGATATTACAACTTCTGTAAGATATCCCTATGATGTGTTTTGATGATTCCTGCTAGGATATATTGAGATATCTATCATAATTATTTCAAATAATATTTTATAATTATAATTCTTTTGGATTCATTAATGCAAATAATATATATTTTTTTTATATTTTTACAGACAGTACTTGGAGATACAATTATTGTCTCGCAATCAACTATATCAAGAGTTGTATTTCGAGTATCCATATTGTTAGCAAGGATATTCAATAGGTTTATAAAAATGCCTTCTACACCAGATGCTATAAGAGAAAATCACAATCTTTTTAAAGATATAGGACGTCGTGCTGGAGGTATTGGTTTACCAAGGATTGATGGAGCTATTGATTGTACACATGTACGATTAGTTGGTACCAAATTGCAGATCATAGAAGAAATTTATAGAAATCGAAAGGGATATCTATCATTAAATGTACAGGTATGCAATGCAACATATGTAAATACACACATATTAATTGTAATAAAATGTTATTAAGTACATTATACTAAAATATATTGGTTTAATATATTTTTATATGTAGGCTGTTGTTGGGCCTAGAACAGAATTTTTGGACATTGTTCCAGAATGGCCGGGTAGCCAACATGATAGTAGAATTTTTCAAAATTCTGCTATATACATGAAATACTTTCAACGTCAGTTGCCAGGTATTCTAGTAGGAGATGCAGGATATCCCTGTTTACTATTTCTTTTAACTCCTATTCAGAATCCGCAAACAGATAAGGAAATTGCGTTAGTATTTTTCTGTGGTTACATTAGGTTATATATATATTTTTTTTTATATAACGTTAGTAAACAAATGTACTTTTTTACAGTTACAATGTACTTCACGGAAGAACACGTCAGATTGTTGAAAGAACATTTGGGATATGGAAACGTAGATTTCCGTGCTTATCTAGAGGATTAAGCAACAAGTTAATTGGTTCAACAACAATAGTTGTTGCGTGTGCTGTGCTGCATAACATGTCTTTAATTTTTAATGATATGTTACCAGAAGAAGAAGTTGAAGAAAATAATGAAATAGAAATACCAATTGAACCACACTGGTAGCCGGGAGAGGGTTTTGTAATGCGAGAAGCACTTATTGAGAGACTGTATAGATAGTTTATTATACAACTTATTACACAACTTATACAATAAACAAAAAGTAACAAAGTAAATTTTATTCAGTCTTACTTTTTGTTGCACATTTCCACTGTTAATTATATACAGGGTGTTTGATAGCTGATCATGCAGACGAAAGTTGGAGTGTAGCCGAGAAGATTGCCGTGTAGATTGGGTGTAGCCGAGAAGAAAAGTCATATACCATAATGTCAAATTGGCAATAGTTACCGAGTTATTAATTAAAACATGTGAGCCAACGAGCGCGTAGAGAGCGGAGGGCGGCTGCAGTAAGCACGTAGACATTTGATACAGGCGGAGTCAGTGAATGGCGGTAGACAAGCGCGCGCGGCGAGGGGCAACGTAAGCGACAAGAGGCGATCGCGCGAACGATGAGGAGCGAGCGAGCTTTTTCTTTATAGCTTTTCTTATAGCTCGCTCGCTCCTCGTCGTCGCGCTCGCTCGCTCGCCTCTTGTCGCTTGCGCTCGCTCGCTCCTCGTCGTTCGCGCTCGCTCGCTCCTCGTCGCGCGCGTTCGCCTCTTGTTGTTTACGTTGCCTCTCGCCGCGCGCGCTCGCCTACCCACTCGCTGGCTTCGCCTGTATCAATGTCTATGTTTACTGCGGTCGCCTCCGCTCTTACACGTCATTGGCTCACATTTTTAATTAATAACTCGATAACTATTGCAATTTGACATTGTGGTACATGACTTTTCTTCTCGGCTACACCAATCTATCTCCAACTTTCGTCTGCATGATCAGCTATCAAACACCTGTATATTATTATATATATTTTAAAAATAAAATTTTAAATTTCTTTATAATAAAAAAAATATAACAAAATGAAAAATATTTTGTATACATCGTGGCTGTGCAGTGAGTTATCGGACACTAACATAATACGGTTAATCTATATTATTCAATACTTTAATATTATTTCTTGCAGCTAAAAATACATAACTTTCTCTTATAATATTTCTTTGGTTAAATGGACTTCGATATTTCCTTTTACAGACTTCTTTTAAAAACGTATATTTTCTTTCTCCTTTTGTAATTGTAACTCGGCTAACTCAGCTTTCGCAGTAGCTTCTCGAATTTGTAAAGTAAATAATTCTGTTTGAAGATTTTCTTTCATTGTAGCAATTCTTTTCTCATGAAATTTTTTTATATCTGATATATCTTTCTCTTGTTCTATGATTTGCTTTATTCTTTTTATCTTTACAGTATCTTCTTCGCTAACAAAATTTTCTTTTATATTTCTCTTTCCTTTTGCTATTTTTACTGGTCGCGTACAGGCAAAATCCAATTTATTTTCTTCTTTCAGCTCAAAAACTGTAAAAACAATATTTAGTTACTTCCTCTCATTAACACTATAAAATAAGTAAAAAATAGTTTATACTACCTTCATTACAAAGATTAGTATCTTGGTTCTCTTTGTCAATCATCTCTTCCATTATTATATCTGAAAATCGTTAATAATGAATCTAAATTATTTGACAATATTTTTAAACAAACGTATTTATTTTTTCTATTGTATATAATTGAGTAAATATAAAAGTATTAATAAAATCTATATAATTAACAAATTATGTACCTTCTCGCAGATAGTATGGTATATGTAAATTTAATTTTGAATTAATTTTAATCGAAAATACCTTGTGTTTTGTTAATTTCTTTATCATTCAGCTCATCAACATTACTCCCGTATAATGATGAGATGTCATCATTTACTAAAAGGTTCAAAACATGTTCTCCTTTCTCTGAATCATAAATAAAATATATTAATATATGAATTATAATAAATATTTGTAAAATTCTTTCTATCTAGTAAAATTATATCTTTAGCATGTGCAACTATGACCGTTTCAAAATTATTGACAGTGCTGAAAATATTTAATATACGTGACATCAATTGTAAGATTCCGTTTCTAGCATGAAGCGCATAATGTGAACATTTTCTATAATATATGTAATATGAACTATAGATAAATGTGTGCATCATGCATTTCATGCGAGAAATGGAATATACCTATAGTTTGTGAAGGCTGGCAATGTTTGGCAATGATTATTGGAACGCAGTCTATATTATGTTTAATAGTAAGAAATTTATACATAAATATATATATATGCCTTACTTATGTTTCTTTATTTATTTTTAAATATATTTTTAAAGTTACCTACCATTTATCTCATTTTCTGTCATATTAGATGTAAATAGAACAGGAGCTGTTTTTAAAAGATGTGGTGTTATTATGGCAACATCAGGGTCAATGTTTATTTCTGGTAGTGGCGGGCCACCACCAGTGGCTAGACGAGCTTGTTTTTCTTTAGTTAATAATTCTCTTTGAGTTTGTTTAATATTTGTCCAGAGTTTCTTTAGCTGTTGAACTGTACGCTGCAAAAGGGAAAACATTAATATCACTAATATATTTAGAGCTGTATTTCAAAACTTTTCTGTACGTAGTATAATTAATTTTGTTATATTTACTTCTTGCATAATCATGGAAGAATCGTTACATCTCTTACAAATTTCAGCCCATGCAAGTTCTTTGTCATGAAGTGTTGAAGAATCACTTTTTTTAACCTCAATGACGTGCTTAAAATCTTTTAATATCTCTACGAAAAGTTTTCTTTCCACAGTTGTATAATGTTTATTCTTCGACATTTTCAAATTTTTTAATTTTAAAGATTGAAATCTTACAATGAGACAACTAGCAAATAAAAATTTGTTAATTCTTCTAATCAAATGTATCACATTTCTCACATGTCCACTTTAACTTGTTGCACTGTGTAGTAGTACAGTTAAAAAGAACAGACCACTCTTGTTTTAACCACTTCAGCTCAAAGGAAGGATCATTTTTATTGGTTGGCCTAAAAGAAATAATACGGAAATAGCCGAATGATCAATAAGTATCATCTTAAGCAAATCTTTGCGAAGATATTCTCAAATAGAATAAGAGTTTCTTAGGCAAAAACTTCTTCGCAAAGATTATCTTAATATATGTTTATGAATTATATCGATTTTAAGGTGATCTTCATTCAATAAGATAATCTTGACTAAGACGATCTTCAGTATCGCCTTGAGACTCGACTATGAATACGGCCCTAACAACCCTGAGTTCACGTGAAAGATTCATGATCGCTGCCTAGGACAAATGTAGTGTGCATGCATTTTCTCAGAGGGCGCGTCGAAAAAAGCGTCTCGGCGTAACCGGCTCAGTGACTACTCTCAAGTTCTTCTCTGCTGGTACTGACAGTACTCTCAGTAAATAAAGGAACGCATTCTCAGATAGCAAGTTGTTGTTCCCTCGTGTCCCACTTGTGCCGTAGTATGCCAGTGAGCGTTCTCGTATATTTATATTTCAGTGATTACTCTTCTCTGCTTCTCTTGTTGCTATATTGAAAATCTATAATTCATATTTTATATATTATAGATTTTCAGGACTGACAGCGAATATTAGGACCATAGATAGTAAGAATAGGCCGTGCATAAAGTTCGAAATCTGAAGATCAAATAAAAAGAAACGGACAATAAGTGCTATGTATCTTTCTCTGACGAGAAAAATATGGAAAAGAAAGTGTAGCATGAAAAAAAGTGGAGAGACAGTTGAGCGTGGCTGAATAGGATTATACTTACAATTCCGTAGAAAAGAATTAGAATTTTTAAATATTTTAAAATATTTGAAATAACCTGATATCACATGTTTGTCATAATTGTCTATATCTCATTGCGCATGCGTGAGTAGAGAAAATTACATGGGCTGCGTTCCGAACTTCACTGCTAGTACTGGAAATATATAGTTTGTGTCACATATACTATAGAATTTCAATGCTGGGAGTGAATATCGGAACGCAGCCATGGGGCGTCTGTATTCTATCTTTTTCTACCTAATCTCAGTCTCTGACAAGAAGACATGTTCGGCCTATTCTTCTTAGTAGTCTTCTTAGTAGACTTAGGCTCAAATTCTGAACTTTTTTATTGTTAAAAGTGACCGTAAATATAGCTTATAAGTCTCCTGATTCACTGTAAGCTATTTTTAAAATTACTTTTGTGATGAAAGAGAATTCAAAATATAAGCCAAATATAGACTACATAATCTACACAATGTTATTATGTATAATCCGATTTTGTAATAACTGTAGTTAATAAGTTCTTGCATTTAATTGAAGTATACTTTTACATCTAAAAGAATATACCAATTAGATGCAAGAAATCACTAACTATAATATTTATTAAACTGGATTAAAGTTGTCGTGTAAACATAATCTATGGAACCAATTAGAACACAGTAAAGAAAAGAATTAAACATCACTTCATTGACTGTGATATAACAATGTGAGATATTTGAGTTTATTATTCATTATTTTGTTTTATGTTATACTCTCATGATGGTGCAGAACTGTTGTGTAGCTGACTGTAAAAATGTTTGGAAACCAAATAGTAACATAGCATATCATCTGTAAGTTATATATATACACCTATATATATATATATAATTAAAACCTATGCACTATTGTTTACATTACATTGAAAATTGCCAACAGATTTCCTTTGAAGGACAAGACAAGACTCGCAAAATGGTTGGAAATAAACGAATTAAAAAATATAAATATAACACCTGCAAAACGTATCTGTAGTGTACACTTTACACCAGAATCTTTTGAGGAACATTGTGCAGTAAGAAGGTTAAAAAAAAATGCAATTCCATCCCTTTTTGGAGAACATATTCAAGTATGGTTCTTACACATTATTATTGTCCTCAGCATATTAATAAACTTATATATACATATATTTTTTTTATAAATTAAAAAAATTTTTTATAAATTATATTTATTATATGAATAATATTTATACATCCATAAATTGCATATACGAGCGCAGTCTGAAAAGTTCTCAGCCTAACAATGAAAGAAAATTTTTTTTGCCATGAAATATGTTTTATTTTTCAATATAATCTCCTGAAACTTCAATGCATTTATTCCAACGTCTTTCCAATAATTCAATACTATCATTAAAGTGTGATTCCGGAAGGTTCTTTTCGCTCTGGTGTATAGTGGTGGATTCAAGTTTCATCAACAGTTATGAAACGACGCTTGAAATCCATTTTATTTTGTTTAAAACGATTAAAATGTGCCAAACATGCTTGAGAAATATACATTCGAATGCATTTTTGGTCAATTGTTAGCAAATGCGGCACCCATCTTGCACAAAGCTTTTTCAACTGGTGCTACTACTCGAATGACTTGACAGATCAAATAAAATTTTACATGGGTTTATATCAGGGACGCCACTTTCTAATACAATTATAGTTTGACAGTTTCTAATATCATGTATGTGTCAGGTCGAGAACTTTTCAGACTGCCTACATATATATATGTATGTGTGTGTATATATATAATATGTTTTTAGATAATAGATGATAGCCGAATAGAAGTAACAGAAATATGGGAAGAAATTTGTACAAATATACCTGAAGAAACGATAACCGAATTAAATAAGGTTTCTATACACAAAACTAGTATCACATGATGTATGATTTCTTACTTTCTGATTTATATGCTGATTAGTATGCTGACATATACGCTGTTGAACTCACTGCATAGAATATTGTGTGAATGTCATGATATGAATACTATATAATATTCCTTATACAAAACATAAACAATTGATAATATTTTTCTACTCCAATTTATGATTTATTTGTATTTTCAATGGTAATACAGATTGACTACTTTAACATTAAATCACCAAATAAATAGAATAAGTATGTAAAATAGTATATAAAAGTATATTCGTTCTTGCAAAACTTATGAACTAGTATAATAAATTTAAAAAAGTGAAAGAAAATATACTTGTTTCATTCTAACTTATTGCATTAGTTCAGAAATTCTTCACGATTAAACAGACTTTAAATCAGAAAGTATAAAATTATACAAAAAATGCAAAGGTTTTTATTAATATGATATACATTCTAATTGTTTAAATTATAAAAAATTGATGCAAACCAGGAAACAGAAGAAAGTATAGAAGAACATGATCTTCCAGTAAATATTATAAACAAATTTGCATTAATCTATAAAGAAATTTCTGTCCACGAACTTATCATTAAATAATTTCTATTTTAGCCTGTAAGTGTAATAGAAACCAAAGATGCCTGTGTCCAAACGATATCTGTATATTATGAGTACCGTGAAGAAATATGGAACTTACGGAAAAAGATAACAATGTTACGACGGCAAATAAAGCAAAGGGAATTAAATATTGCTAACACACGAAAGTACATTCAGCAGTTGACAAATAGGAAAGTCTCAAAGAAAAATACAGGTCGTTTAATCTGCGAATAAAAAAATGTCTATTAATTAATCCTACTAGTTGAGTAAAAGGAAAACCATTGATCTGGAATAAATTTGTGCATGAAAATATGCGAATCACGTGATGCGCAATAAGGAAATTCTTGTTGCAGTTATTAAAAATCTTTTATTTGTTTCAAATCATCTGTCCGCGCCTATTTACAAAACACCTTCCACTAAATATGCAACGTTAGAATTTCATTGAACGGGCCGTCGCTCGAAGAGAATCAATCAGCCAACATCCAAGGAGATCCCGAAACACTGATTTTATTAAGAATCACTATGCTCCGTCGATGCGATTATATATGTGATATAAAGTATGTTTTTAGTTGTATACAAGGTGTCCCAAAAGTAACAGACCACCTTAATAACTCTTCAGTAATGAAGTTTCAAGGAAAATGATTTGAATAAAAGTTGTAGGGATTTAAGTGAGCTACCTTATGACAACCTTAACTTTGACCTTGACCACTATTTTTAAGGTCATTTGAAGATCAACTGTGTTTTTTAAATGAGAACCCTTATTTTTTATTACACTTTTTCTACTAGTTAATTTGAACAACTTTTGTCAAACATTTTTTTATTTGTCTAATATTTTTTGAGATATTTGAGGAAAACTTGATAACTTTTTCAATATTTAACTTACGATATCTCGCTAACCATTTGTCGGAAGAAAAAATGGTACTAGACTTTCTTGCTTTATTTAGTCTCAAGAATATAGTTACAATAGCGCCTTGATTTTTGTTAACTTACTGACTTTTGGAAATTTCAAAATCAAATTAACAAAAATCAGGACACTATTGTAACAATATATTCTTGAGACTAAATAAAGCAAGAAAATCTAGTACTACCTTTTCTTCCGACAAATGGTTAGCGAGACATCGTAAGTTAAATATTGAAAAAATTATCAAATTTTCCTCAAATATTTCAAAAAATATTAGACAAATGAAAAAATGTTTTAGACAAAAGTTGTTCAAATTAACTACTAGAAAAAAACAGTGTAATAAAAAATAAGGATTCCCATTTAAAAAACGCAAGTTGACCTTCAAATGACCTTGAAAATAGAGGTCAAGGTCATTATAAGGTAGCTTAAATCCCTACAACTTTTATTCAGATTATTTTTCTTGAAATTTAAATACTGAAGAGTTATTAGGGTAGTCCGTTACTTTTGGGGCACTCTGTATATATACAAGATATTTCAAAGTTTATCATACAGACAAAAGTTGGAAATAGATTAGGTGTAGCTGAGAAGAAAAGTCATGTACCATAATGTCAAATTGGCAATAGTTATCGAGTTATTAATTAAAATATGTAAGCCAACGAGCGCGTAGAGAGCGGAGAACGGTTGCAGTAAATAGACATTTGGTACAGGCGGAGTCAGCGAGCGGCGATAGGCGAGCGCGCGCGACGAGGGGCAACCGTAAGCGACAAGAGGCTAGCGAGTGCGAACGACGAGGAGCGAGCGAACGCGAACGACGAGGAACGAGCGAGCGCGAACAACGAGGAGTGAGCGAGCGCAAGCGACAAGAGACGAGCGAGCGTACGCGGCGTGTCATAAGGAAAAAATATGACATCGCGCCATCCCGTCTTTTCAAAGGCGATAGAAAAATGATACTATCATTTCCACACCACGTTGCGGTAGATAGCTTGGCGCGTTTTTTTTTATAGTAGTTTCCCCAATAGGCTGAATCCGTTCTTACAATCTAATGTAAGAATTGTTCGAAGTGCCGTCCTCTCTCTCGTTTGCAGAGTTCGGCCCTTCGTACAATATTGCGCGTCGCACGATGCACCATGTCCGGCATAATGGTATCGAAGACAATAGCTTCACGTACTTCGTTTCCTGTACCATTACGCTGACGCTCGATTAAACTTATATGACCCCATATAAAAAAGTCTAATACATTTAAATCTGGCGACCGTGCCGGTCAGATGATTGGACCACCACGACCCATCTACCTGTCCGGAAATTGCGCGTTTAATACCTCCCATACTTCGCGACAAAATGAGCCGGTGCTCCGTCATGTTGATAAATGAGCTCGTATGTTTAATGGTACATTTGCGAGAAGCACTGGTAACTCGTTCTTTAATAACTGTCTATAAATCCTGCCAGTTAAACGCTGCGGGAGGAAATGTGGACCGATCTGGAAATAACGAACGAAAAAATGTTTCACTTAAACAATGGGAAAAATTTGTAACGGCCGAACTCCGCGATTCTGTCGTCGCTACTCGTATTGCGCGAATAAGACTCGTCGGAGTCCGGGTTCGGTGAGGAGGAAAGCAGCGAGACACTTGAGAATAGAAATGTAAATAACTTAGATTTATTCTATGTGGACTTATGTACAAGAGCTCGGCCTCGAAGGCGTTGTCGCGGGTTGCGTCTATTAGGCGTGTCGGTACGGTACGGTGCGGTGCGGTGTGCGGTACACGCGCGTATACGGATGGATAGGCCGCGCGGGAGGCGGAGCCTATTGCGCGACACGTGTAGACAATGACGGCGGTAACGGTGCGGTGATCGGTCTCGCTCCGCGATGCTGGGCGTCTCGGATAATTATCGCCCAATACTCGGCTTGCAATCGCTCGCGTAAAGATGATCGTCGGACCGGAGATTGCGACTCTTGGTCAAACGCACGCACGCGAGTCGCGGAATACGAGCAAGGATTTCGTCCGTCGGGGCCGAGGACTCTCGACAGAGAAGGCGTACGCACCTTCCCGTTTCCCTACGTCTGCGGAGGAAAGCAACCAAGTGCTGCAGACACTCAGCGGAGACGGCGGACGCACCGTCCCGGGTTCTTGGTCGCTAGACGGATCGCCTAGAGGCTAAGTACGCTCAGCGGAGTTCGCCGACGGACGAGCCCCTGGCTCAGGGCGGCGGGTAAGAGCTAGAGACTGCTGAGTACGCTCGACTAAGCACGCATACGCACGAGCCCAGGAAGACGAGAGACGGCCAAGTATCGAGCACGCTCGATCGAGACTGCGGACGCACAATCCCGTTTGCTTAGTCGCCGGTCGGATAGTCGGAAAGCGGAAGGCAGAGCGAAACGGTCCGGATATTCTCACTATCGGCATAAAGTGTCTGGATCGAACGACGGTACGGATCGGTCTGGTCCTGAGAAGCTCGATCGCCGCCGTTTTATAGTTGTATTCTCTACGATTGATACGGCGGCGATCGAGCGGCGCGCCAATCAGCGCGAGGCACGGCGATGGCGCGTGATAACGGCCGCGCGCACTAGCGGCGGCGCGTGATCGCAGCGACGCGCGATAGCGGCAGCACGCGATAATTTCGATCGTTTGAGGTGGCGCAAAGCGCCGTTCTTCGGCCCGACAGATGGTCGGTCGGGCCGGTAATTTGTAACGAGACGCGAATGCACCTCGTTACAAATTATTTTCTTTCTACTTACCACTTGATTTTCGATTATTTCCGCGCACACGTTGATGGACCAACGATACTGAAATCCGCCTTTATGGATGACGTGCGGATTTTCATCGGACCAATATCAAGAGGCACACCGTGCCTATATTACGTGAAGCTGCGAGTTGAAACGAGGTGAGATATTCAATAGCTGAACCGATCGAGGTTTTTTTAGTCCCAATCGATCTGGCCTTAAAAAATAGGAAGAAAAGTGTTCTTGTGCGTTTTGTGTACGTTGTCTTTAATAAGGGCTATATAAACCCATGGGGAAACGGATTTCGCCGTACTTGCGCAGGTAAATAGTACTCATGGAACAATGAAAAACGCTAAATGGATAGAGTGCGCTTCTCAAGCGTTTTCGAGAAAAAACGCTTCAAAGTTTTGCGCGATACATAAGTGCCGCTACAGTAGCGGGGCGACCAAGCAGCGGCGGTGGCGGAGCATAATAGGCGAAGTGCTATGGAGCTGCAGGTCGCCTATTCGTGTCCAGCCTGATTTTCAAATTTTTTTTTTACTTTTTGCAGTAATAAAGTATTGCAGTTAAATATGTAATAATGCGCACGAAATAGGTGGCTTCGTCGGACATTTTGCTTGCAATATGTTAATATAAAAAATATATTTTTGCATGCATATAGGCGGCGCAATTAATTTATACGATATGTACGTAATGTACTAATGTTTCTTTATTTTAAAAGTAAAAAAATACATACAAACTTTAAAGAAATCAGTGAATTAGTCGTCTTCTGTAGGAGTACATGTTGTGGGGTGATAATTATCAAAAAAACAAAAACAATACTAATTTGCACCAGGAACAAATTATAAATCCAACTTTGTTACACGCACACTTTTTTGTAATAAACTAACGGGAAAACGTATTTCATTAACATTCAAAAAGATCGGCCGGTCATCTGTCAGTTTTGACGCAAACCATGCATATAATATCATCGGTTTGAATACTGGAGCACTTAATTGATGTAATATTAATGAATGCAATTTAATCGCATCTTCTCGAGCTGCGATTTCTCTGTTCTTGCAGCAATGTAGGAGAATTCTGTAAGCGCTTAAGGAAATTTTTAACTTGACGGTAGAAATACACGTCGCAAGGTTGACATATAGGCGTACATTTTGGAGGTATTACTTTAACTATACACGTTGCCTCTCCATCTCCGTCGTCAAACATTTCGTCATATATAACTGTATTTGTTTAACCTCCCCGAGAATCAATAATAAATAAAAATTTATTATCTTCTACATATGGTGCAATGATGCGTTCTAAAAACGGTTTGTACAACTCGGTGGTCAGTTTTCCAGATTTCGAACATATGACAACAACATTTTTGTATTTTTCGATGAAGGAATCTACTGTTTTTGTTACTTTAGGGCCAAACTTTATAAAAAAAAAACACAGTTCTCACAGTTCACGTTAGAGACAAGCGTCCTCGGTGGAAGTCGACCGCAGACTAACGTTTTGTAGTATCGAAAAAACTGTACCTGGTGCGCAACGGTCGACCCTTGGACAAAATTTGCCATAAGATCAAAGAAACTCTTTGTTCGCTTCGGCTATCCACATGCTTACAATAAGGGAACCGGCTTTCAAGGGTCGGCCGGCGCAGGTACAAAACGTTAAAATGTACACGTGAACTAGTAGCATTGACTGATTTCTTTAAAGTTTGTATATATTTTTTTACTTTTAAAATAAAGAAACATTAGTACATTACGTACATATCGTATAAATTAATT